ACACTAGCATAATTCTATTTTACATTATTATTTAATAAAATAAAGATATATTATTCGATGATGATAAAATTGAATAAATACAATATTCCAAACTATGGCACAAATATTTTCAGTGTTTTCAACATAAAATACTATTTGAAATATTATCTTAAAAATTTGTTAAAACAAAATCAAATATCTTATTTTTAAAAGTATATGCTTTTGGACAAATCAAATATCTATTTACTATTTGCCATTTAAAATATCATTTTATTTACAAAATTTCCATAAACACATCGTTCGTATTTTTATAAAATGCTAGGTATTCATCGCTCGGTGCTCGTACTTTTAACGAAAAGTGGTTTATACTATTTTCTAATGCCTGGACTAAAAGAAATGTGACATTTGGCGAATATGGGCGAGGTCTGTGCATTACAATGATCCAATTCAATTCGCCAAGTTTATTTTGGATCTGCATGGAAGTGTGCGGTCTGCCAGTGTCATGATGAAAGATAACATCCTTGCCAGGCGCCAGAGCCGAACGTTTTTCTTGAATTTCTTCCCTCGGTTCCTCCAACTGATAGTACTTTAGCGAATTAATTGTCTCACCACTGCGTGGCAAGTGAGAGCAAAAAATTCCCTGGCTGCTTCACGACGGAGACAGCGTCACCTTCCGATAGTGCAATCTAATAATACAAATTACAGTCACCTACATCTGAATGGGTTAGAATCATAGTGGTGTCAGTCACATTTTCGGAAATTTTGACTAATCCACTAATATTCTGCACATACCTATTTCTATCGTATGACCGCTCTTTAAATAAACGTTATATCCTTTTCTATTATAATATATGCTTGAATAAGGAAGTTCATCTAAAAATTTCACATAGATACAATTCTACAATGACGGGAAATGTACAAGAAAACTTCAGAAGTTTTCTAAATTTGCTAAATTTAGTTTCCTAATGTTCTAATGTTAATAAACGATCTAGTTTGTTATTGAACGTTGTATTAGCATGGCCGTTGTTTAAACTAACAAATGTAAGAATGTGAAGTGAAACTTGCAGCTGTGACGAAATGCTCGTCGTTCAGGTTATGAACTTTAAATCAGATTTTAGAAATATCGACTTGTTGGTCCCAGTTCAAACGACAAAATGACATTTATCGAGGATGTCCGCCAAGTTGGAAGTCAATCGGTTGATTCGTTTATGAGATATGTCTGCGAACTTTGGAAATGTCGTTTAAAGACAAACGCAATTGGAGTTTTGCGAACTGTTGCCAAGCACACACGACGTTTTCAAGGTAGAAGACCGTTGCGGAAGTAAAATTTGATTTTTCGGAGTAATCAAAATGGCTCTCGCTTTGTGTCGCGATCGATACATCTGGCGAATTTTTTCCTCGGCAACCGTGCCTGGTCAACTCGCGGATTTGCATCCACTAGATTGTGCACAATGTCGTCATCAGCGGCAGAAGGCCACCAAAAGTGAGGTTTATCGTCGAGGTCAAAATTGCCACGTTTAAATTTGGCAGACCATCTTTCGCAGCTTGGAATCTACATGACTGAACCTCTAAACACGTCGCTTATGTGACTTGTATTAACGGTGATCATTATTAGACTGTAGATTTTATTTATTTCCGACAAAAATGAGTCGATCGACGACGAAACAGTAAAAACATTTAATGAACTGAAAAACGTTGTTATTTTCGCTACTCATTGAAATCACTAAGAAAAGAAATGAATATTATTATGGCTCCTGTACCTTACAATTAATACAGACAATTTTCGTTTTGCATAAAAATCCGCGGTCTAATCATTTATACAAGAGCACTGAAAAATGGCGAGAAACGGTTTCTTAATTCCGGTGTTACCAAGAAATCAGCTTCCGAATTTTTACTTAAGAAGAGACAATGTTATGAGAACGGTGAAGGAATATTTACACCAGTTAAAAGTTTCGCAGTTTATTTTATATCTTGGATTTATAAAATAACTAAAATTCAATAAATTTTTCAGTTTATTCAGTATTAAATTGAAAAAGCTGAAATAACTGAGTGCTGTATAATTTTTCAGTTTATTCGGTATTGATGAAACTACAAACGTAATATAAAACGAAATATGGTGTCTACACAAAATCGAAATAGGTCAAATAACTATACTATTCAATATTTACGGTGTAAAACAAAGTGTAGTTTATATAGAATTAAAGAATCTGGAATGTCTAAATTCCACACAGTTTCTGTTTATCTAATATTTGGAAATTCCTAATAAGAAATATTAGAAATGTCATCAAGAAAATTAATTCAAGGTCGTACAAAATACGAATTCTAAATTGTTATTTTCTTTCATATTATTATATACCGGAAGATTGATTACAAGAATACATAAAATACCATGTTAGTTTAATCCATGAACCGTGATATACTGAAAGTGTAACGTCAAAAGTTTGTGTGAAAGTGTAACGTTTATAATTCAATAGTTAATCGAATGTGTTAATTTGATTAAGAACCGTCGAGCCATTGTGACGAAACTGGTAGCTATCTTCATTCATGTTGAATTTTATGTCGCGCAACTAGTTCGTCCAGACCAGTTGATTTCTGTTCTAATTGACAACTCGCTCTACTGCGAAGACGTGAATATTTCAAGATACTGGCTACGTATATCGTTTCCACGTAACAGTGTCGATCACGCCATTTATCGAGATTCTGTCGGAACTTCTGCACTCGGGATATATGTATATTTACACCAGCTGTTCTCCATCATCGTTCGCGATAACAATAACCTGTGTTAAAGAATGAAAAGAGTTGTTTCGTTTCTGTTTTGATATATACACCTAAGGGCAAAAGTTACAAAACGTTACATACCGTCAATGTTTGAGTAAAATTTGATATTTTAACAAATATACGTCTTATTAAATTAAAAGTGCACATTAATAACCAAGCATACACACACAAATAAAAAAAATAAACATTAAAAAAAATTGAAAACATTGTATAGCACGTGATAGATTTGGATAAAGGAAGTAATTTTTGTTCGAAGATTTCTTTCCTATGTCGCACAATTTGCGAATTATAGCAATAAAATAAGAAACAGCCAAATATTTTGGGGATTAATTTCCATCCCTTGAGGTAAATTTGCGCAAGAAAAATAATTTCATAATACATATCTACGTATGCTCTATATATTCCTAATGTTTCTAAATTTTTCGAATTTCTAGATCGGATTTCATCCCTCGTAAGTTGATCTTGTCGTGCAAGGATGAAATTGAAAATATCGGTTAATTAACGTTATTTCGTACGAAAGGACTTATTGGAAAATAAAGTTTCTGAAGATTCTAGATACAATATCCTCGGACAGATTAGATTTTGGTGCACCGACGATAAATTCTATCGTGTCTCAGACGTAACCTAGATTCTACTTTTATCTAACTTTTAGGCAGCCTGTCATTCAACGGCCACTGGAAAAGAAAAGAAAAGAAAAGAATAGTGCGGGAGGACAGTGTCGGATAAAAAGTTCAGAGATACCAGTCCTAAAATACAAAATCAGCGTTCTTCGCATTCCGTAATCGGAACGCTGATTAAATATCGTTTAGCATGCATTCGTGACAGATTGCGTAAGTCCTGTTGCTCGTGCTTCAAATGCAATATTATTCCATTCGCGTTTACTCTTCCAAATCATTCTTTAATTCTTTTTGTTTGCATTCAAGTTTCTTCTGCTTTAAATTAAAAATTGTGCAGACTCATATAATGAAATGTTGAACAATTGTCGGCATTCTGTTGTATTCGTTCTCGAAAGTGTCCGAACATTCTTTATACATACAGTTTAGTATTGTTGAGCATTATTCGAGTTATTATTAGAATAAATGTTTCGAATCAAATTATATTCGAACAACGTTTCAAATATATCCCTTGAATAATATATTGAATAAATTCTTCGAATATGATATAATATAATAGATTAATGTGTATTAACTGTTATTAAGTGTCAGAAGGATATTCAATTATTTCTCTTTCGTGCATTGTTCTCGGCTCGAAATAAAAGCAACTTTTAACTAGATTACAAAATTCAGGTCGTGTTTGGGAGAGGAAAAGCGACATTATAAAATGACGTAAAATGCATACGTAACAAGAACGTACTTTCGAGATGAAATTGCGCTTGAAATATGAGTGACAAGACTTGTGTAGAAACCTGGTACATAATATATTATGAAGTCGAAAAATGTAGAACATTTGATTCCTCGGTTGTAGACAATAAATAATATAAAAGCAGTGTAGAATATGGCAGAAAATAATAGTACTGACATACTAACCGTCTATAGTTAATGTTCATACTTTACATGCCACTTTATAATGATATTAACAAGTCACTTTATAATTATTAACGTAGCAATTACTATTTTATTTCAATACTTCTTGCACTGTTAGTCATTTTATTTCAATCCATACTTTTGCATTAAAGTTTTGGTGTTTTTGCAGTTACTTAGTCTCTACACAGATGAATATTATTGGGTGTAGTATACCTCCTCAACATAGGATGAAAGTTCGTATTGTGTCAACGAAAATATTAATTTTATCTTTTCATGAATACTTAATTTTTTATTTATATTTTATTTTTGCAATTTGTACAAAAATATTAACAGTTTTATTATTTTTCTTAGTCGTCGAATACACTAAATAAAACAATATTGCAATTTAAACAATGTATTATATGCTTCACTATAATATGTACTTTAAATTTAATAAGATGTACATTTATTAAAATATCAATTTTTACTCAAATGTTAATGATGTATGAAGTTTCTTAATTTTTGTCGGTAAGTGTTATATACATACGTATAAGAAAAAAAACGAAATTGGTCAGCGGTTATATATATATAAGTTGTATCATTATTATCTTTTATTTCTCTATATAGTTGAAAAATATTTTTAGCATAATTGCTGTTTCAGTTTTATTCAACGTCTATTTTTTCACGTTTATAAATCGGGTCGCTTTTAAAACGGTTCATGACTATACTAATACCATTTACAATGAATAATTTATTATAAAACGTATAATTGTCAGGATGTTGGAAATTATTGAAGTTACGTGGTAATAAATGTGTGATAAAAATGCGCACAATTTCAGGAGAACAAATAGTCTGAAAGCAAACTGCTCCTCCGTGAGTAATCGCTATACCCAAAGCTAGATAGCGAAATTTGTTTGGCGAATCCGGCCAAAAATTGCGAGAGTTACACACTGGACAATTTTGTCCGTGTTTCTGGCGAATAAAAATGTCTGCTAATAACTTATAAATCATTTCGTAATTAGCTATTCCCGAGTTTAATTGCATGGAGAATTGGAGTTTCAAGTGAGTGAGAGAGAGAGAGAGAGAGAGAGAGAGAGAGAGAGAGAGAGAGAGAAGTTTGAAGTAAAAATATTCATTCATTTGAAAGTTATGGTGTAGAATGTAGACCATTCGAAAAATACAGTCCCGAGATAAACGATTTTAAAGTTTCAAGCGATGGGTTTCCATTGCGTGCGATTTAATTATGCTCACTCAGTAATACAAGTCTCGCAATTATGCGAATATTTGAATGAAATGTTTTGAAACGTTCACGGAATAAAATCGACAATAACAGAAACACTATGTTCACAAAAATTCTGGCAACTACCTAAGATAACTAATTAACTAATACATCTACTAACCGCCTATACGATGAATTAACAAAATACCCTCTCTTCATTTTTTATTATGAAAGGTATTTTTATTAGAAATATCGATAGTCATCTAAAAAATAGTATGCAAACTACCGTAATTCTTTTTTTATTATTACTAAGCATTATTAAACACGAACATTTTCCTTGTTGAAAAGTATCCATCTTGAACTTTTGTCGATAACAAGTTAATGGAATGTTGGGTATTTTCGATTCTGAGAAGGCTGCTACTTTTCCTTGTTTATTTTTCCTCGAATAATGATCGTAACCGTCATAATATGAATCGACACATTCCTTTTTAGATTTCAAGCTGCATTCCCTCCTGTGTTACATTGTACACGTCTTCATAAATGTAGTTTATAATAATATCTTTACTTGCAACGAACGTTTATTAAGTGATATAAAAATTCAGAAAACTTCTTTTATAAATAATTATTAGGGAAGTGATTATTTAGTAATACTTCAAATTAATTTTAAAGAGGAGCGAAATCAATTAAAATATATTTTTATAAAACATTTATAATAAATTTTCTTTATAGATTGTAGTTGTAATAAACTTTTAATAGAAATTTAGATAAATTAATTTTAAATTGGAAGATAAAATTAATTGTACATTTTTATGAAAAATTTATTTATAATGAATTTTAATTTTAACATTTACAGTCGTAGTATCTATCGACGTTGTTCTTCAGCGTTTTATCTCAACCATTTTTATCGCGCAAGAGAATGAAGGGCACAGGTTAAATTGATCTTCTGTTATTTTCTGTTATTTAATTAAGACGATATTGTTTATGGTGAAGATTTCTTGATGCAAACAATTTTGTTGAATTCTCAAGCGTCGCGTCATTTTTCTGTAAAAGTAAGCGGCTTATTTATTCATTCGAACACCGAGGTCTTCTTGTTGGCGTCTCCAGATCTTAGGGTGCGATCCATCACACCGCGAAGANAAGTTTGAAGTAAAAATATTCATTCATTTGAAAGTTATGGTGTAGAATGTAGACCATTCGAAAAATACAGTCCCGAGATAAACGATTTTAAAGTTTCAAGCGATGGGTTTCCATTGCGTGCGATTTAATTATGCTCACTCAGTAATACAAGTCTCGCAATTATGCGAATATTTGAATGAAATGTTTTGAAACGTTCACGGAATAAAATCGACAATAACAGAAACACTATGTTCACAAAAATTCTGGCAACTACCTAAGATAACTAATTAACTAATACATCTACTAACCGCCTATACGATGAATTAACAAAATACCCTCTCTTCATTTTTTATTATGAAAGGTATTTTTATTAGAAATATCGATAGTCATCTAAAAAATAGTATGCAAACTACCGTAATTCTTTTTTTATTATTACTAAGCATTATTAAACACGAACATTTTCCTTGTTGAAAAGTATCCATCTTGAACTTTTGTCGATAACAAGTTAATGGAATGTTGGGTATTTTCGATTCTGAGAAGGCTGCTACTTTTCCTTGTTTATTTTTCCTCGAATAATGATCGTAACCGTCATAATATGAATCGACACATTCCTTTTTAGATTTCAAGCTGCATTCCCTCCTGTGTTACATTGTACACGTCTTCATAAATGTAGTTTATAATAATATCTTTACTTGCAACGAACGTTTATTAAGTGATATAAAAATTCAGAAAACTTCTTTTATAAATAATTATTAGGGAAGTGATTATTTAGTAATACTTCAAATTAATTTTAAAGAGGAGCGAAATCAATTAAAATATATTTTTATAAAACATTTATAATAAATTTTCTTTATAGATTGTAGTTGTAATAAACTTTTAATAGAAATTTAGATAAATTAATTTTAAATTGGAAGATAAAATTAATTGTACATTTTTATGAAAAATTTATTTATAATGAATTTTAATTTTAACATTTACAGTCGTAGTATCTATCGACGTTGTTCTTCAGCGTTTTATCTCAACCATTTTTATCGCGCAAGAGAATGAAGGGCACAGGTTAAATTGATCTTCTGTTATTTTCTGTTATTTAATTAAGACGATATTGTTTATGGTGAAGATTTCTTGATGCAAACAATTTTGTTGAATTCTCAAGCGTCGCGTCATTTTTCTGTAAAAGTAAGCGGCTTATTTATTCATTCGAACACCGAGGTCTTCTTGTTGGCGTCTCCAGATCTTAGGGTGCGATCCATCACACCGCGAAGAGTACTTGTTGGTACTCGAAGCCATCAACTTCCGTAAAACCAGGGTTTTAGAGCAAGGGGTGGACTTGACTTGAAAAATGCGCAAGAAATTTTTCTCTTGTGCCTTTATTAGCTATACGAATCACTCAAACTCGTTAGTGGAACTTGCCCAATTAGATTGTCTTCCACTAACAAACTTCGTATCCTATTGCAAATTAGTGTTTACAACCAATAAATGGAATATAAAAAATCAATCATTGTTTCAGCTTTTAATTAACTGTGTTTTCTATACATTGAACAATGTTCAGTAAGAATTTAAAAACTAATAATACATAATATCGAACATATGTACACGTAACAATCGTGTAGTTGTTAAACAAACCATCTGATTTAAAATATTAATAAATAAATAAACAAATTAGCACTACTGTTTTATGTAACACACTACGCGGCTATTCTTTCACTATTGTTTTGATAACTTAAACTTATAAGTTCGCGTTTAGTGCAATCAAACTAAATCTTTTATTTATTAAATAAATAAATGATATTTTTGTGTTATCGTCGTTATCTTTACAGTATACGATGTGAACAAATCGCCCTGATTTCTGCATTTCTTAATATATCACCCGTAAATGTTTAAAATTCTTTGTCTTCGTTGATAGTCGACCTAATAACGAAGAAATCTCTTCTAATAAATTTGATTAAAAACAATCCGGTTTTGGGAAAATAATATTAGAAAGAGAAAACTCGATTTTGATGAAGAAGTTACGAAACGTATTATTTGCGAATTGATATTTTTGCAAATACGATTTACAAATAGGCTAATCAAATTAACTTATTTACTGGATGACAGTTTCTCTAATTGCTGAAAATTCCAACTTTTTCAATTTATCTAATTATCAACGTCTATTATCAAATTTCAAGGAACCGATTTCCATCTATATATCTACATATACTAAGAAAAGAACTATTTACATTAAAGATTTTATTGTATTTGATTTTCATTGTGGACCAAGTTACAACATGAAGCCTTACCGAGATCGGCATTGCAGCCATTTATAATCTCCTCCACCCGTTTATAAAATTGTCTGAATATTTATAACGATATTATACGCCGGTTACATTACCATCCAGAAGCATCTGGACACATGCATGATTGCAGATATCGTTGAAATGTTTTGAACACGATTTATCTTTTGTTTGTTGAATACGTCGTTTCTGGAATAGTGATTCGTTCGGATAATTATGTTATTAGTGACGAATCATAGAGTCGTCACTAGTAATTGATTTATTTTCATCGATGGTGGTCAATGTTAATTAATCATGATTAAGATAAATCTCACTACTAGCTATAAATAAGTCCTAGTTGTTACTAGACTGCGAATTTTATGCATTTTTGACAAAAATAATTAGGAACAAAATTGTAAAAACATGAAAAGAATTCGAGAATATATAGCCTTAGATTACTTATAACTTATTAAAATTATTAAAAAAGGAAGGATATTTTCGCCTGGCTTACGTTTCCTACCATCGAATTATACAATTTTTATTTCGCATAAAAATTCGCGGTCTAGTTGTTACTAACGATGTATCATGAAACAGTTGTCGGCGACACACCAATTATTCGATTGTACAATCCGCATAAATGAATTTCGTGGTATTGAAAAATGGAACGAAGATCGAGACTCTCGTTCTCATACATTTCAAGCACCCATTGCAATGTTCGTATCATATTAACATTAGAACTACCGAACCAGATAAAATTACTGGTTTCTGTTTTTCTCTTCCACAATTGTTGGAGTTACAGAAACATTTCTATAAGAAATCATTGGATAAACCTCTTTATTTCAGCATTCATTACAATAGAAATCGAACGAAGTTTAGATAAATCCTAAATAATTAGTTAAATTAATTAAATATTATGTACGTTTAAACGTACGTATTTTAATATTATTACCGTAATTCTAAGAACAATCACTGGTATTTGTTAATTATTATATAAATATATAAATATATTTATTAAACCTTAATTATTTGTTTAATGGATCCATTTAAATGTATCTATGAGGACAGATAATATTTCCACATTTATATAGTTTTCATCTTAGTAAATCTTAGTAAATTTTCCCTAATTGACGCGCAGATTATACACAAAAAATGGACAATTTGGGAAATGGAGATACGATTGTTCGAGCCTTGCTGCCCGTTTTTATAGTTGTTGACAATCGGCGACTATAAAAACGAGCCGTAAAGCTCGAATAATCGTATCTCCTCTTCCCAAATTGCCCATTTTCATGTACGACCTGAGCGTCAATTAGGGAGAATCGACTGTACCCGTTCGCGCTTTCTAGTTGTTCAGATACTTGTGGGCGATTGCGTACGTGTATATATGTATGTATATATAGATTCAGCTGATTGTTACCGACTTTGAAACATTTCTATCTGTGTTTCCAGTGCCCCGGTTGGATTTGGATAGTCTCGAAAGCGGATACCACGGCCTGGTGAAGGAAAATGAAACTCTGGTCGAGGTCACGCCGCAGATACGAGCTTTGGGCGCGAAAGTCTGCTCCTTCCGTATCGCCAACAAACACCACGGCGAAGCACCCTTCGAGATTGTTTTAAAAGAGAAAGGGATCGCGGAGCTGAGAGCACTGCGAGTTCTGAACTGCGAGAAACGGCGCAACTACAAGTTCGACATCGAAGCGGTCGGATGCAATGGCGCACTATCGGAAAAGTATGAGTCGCATGAAATGAATTCCAAACTTTTATCGACGCTCCTTTTTTTTTTTTGGTGTTTCCAGCCTCCGCTAACATTTTTGCGATTTACCGTCGCTGTCAGAGCTGGGCGTAGTTGCCGCGGAAATTTTCGTTACACGAACCCTTGATGAAACCCAGTATTTCAGACAATTTATCGATCTCGCGTACAAATGCACGCGGAACACGTTCCGACTCTGTTCGATTTGGAATATGGGGTATTGGAAATCGAGAATTTCCAAATATCCCCAGCATAATCCTGATTCGGCAGCTTTGTTTTGAAAGTTTTCGACATTTTCGAAGACACGCCCGGATCATTGGCAGGACTTTGAATTGCATGCATGATCTCGGTACAATTGGGAAAGATACGATCTCGTAAAGTATGATCTGAATACAATACGGTTCCGGAAATGTACTCGGAATATTTGAATAAAATGTTACCCGAAATATCTGCTGAAACAATACAGAGAGAAATAGTCAGCAGCCGTTGTTTTATAACTTCGGTTCATTCGATAAATTTCGAATAAAATTTTATTCGAGATGTTTCTCGAACGAAATTTTATGCTAAGAATTTATTCGAAATATTTCTCGAATTAAATTTTATGCGCAGAGTTCGCACGAAATATTTCTCGAATTAAATTTTATGCGCCGAGTTTGCACCGAAATATTTCCGAAATCAAATTTTATTCGAAGAGTTTATTTGAAATATATTTCTCGAATTAAATTTCATTCGAAGAATTCGTTCGAATGAAATTTTACTCGAACAATGTCCCCGACACTGTCTCAGAGCCACAACTCAAGTTTGAAAGGGTTGACATCTACTAAAATGATTATTTTGCAAGAAAATGATTGAGTTCCCTTTAGATACAGTTGGTCCATTCGAAAGCCTATCCGCCAGTTTCCCTTAGCGCAGCTAGTTTCCCGTGTTCCTGATTTCAATTTTCGAATCGAGTGCACCGATTCGTATCATCTCGCCGCCTTCTATCGGCTCTGCTTTTATAGCATGGTATGTTATTACGTATTGTTGGCTTAATGACATCGTGGCGCCTGAATGCACACAGAATTCTTGCCGTTGAAGGGGTATCCTTCAAGAAGATAAGAAGCTCGCATTTTGTTCACACAATAGAAGGTTCTGGTAACATATGGCTGACGAAGGTTCTGCTCTATTAATGTCTGCATCGGGTATCGACTATGCCACACACCAGCGCAATAATTGTGTCACCCGGAACCCGACGTCGGATTTGAAATTTATAACTTTGAATTTCCGACGAACGAGTACCTCCATTACGTCTTCTTACTGAAATTCGATGTTTGCTAATAAAAGAACGTTTTTAAAGACCCGCTTGAAAAGCTGCTTAAGAGGAACAGTAGTTTCCCAATGTTCGTCCCACTTTCCGCCGGTCTATTTGCACCGGAGGTTATCCTCCTCTATCTGTTATTTCGTTTATTCAACGCAGGGAAGACTCGACTTCGTCTTCTTTTCAGAGGATTCATTTATTAGTAGTCCTTGAATTTCATGCGAATATTGTCCACGGATCGAGAACGTTTTCGCCGTGAATATATTCCCTCGCTTGGAATATTTTTCATTCCAGCACGGAACACGCTTTGATTGGCGAAACGTAGAGGTATGTTGAATATCGAGTTATTAACGCGTTAGGAATGTTTTATGTGACAATGAGAATCAGTGGCACTTTTTTGTGACCATTGTCATGAAACAGCTGTTACCGTTTTCGTGATTTAGCAGAAGATAAGAAAATTAGAAGTGGGTTTCTTTTGGGATATAAACAGATCTGATACTTTACAAAAGATGCTTTGAAAATCAAAATACTAAGGAAATTAATGTACTAGTCACTCGTCTTTTAATGAAATTAATTTAATAAGTAACGAAAGTTGGAAGTATTGGAATAGTATTAATTATTTATATTATTTATTATATTATATTATTTATATTATTTATAGTATTAATTATTAAAAGTATTAATATCACTAATGCACGATGATCATTGAGACACGATGTACGATTCACTCGTTTTTCCTAAACTTGGCTCGTCATCGAAGCTTCGAAAAAGGTCCCAGTTATTGCTTTATTTTATGATGCATTTTTATTTCATTCAATTTTACTATTGATCAGTATATGACGAACAAAAATAGATAAGAAATAATAAGAATAAATAAAAGAATAAGAAATAACGAATTACATTTTATCAAGTTATTTTCATTCTTCACTATTAAATTCTTCATATCTAAAAATCGTAGTAATATTGTACTCTTTTAGAGAATGTAATATAATACTTATCACGAGATGACAATATTAAATTCTATATATTATATATTTTATGTTTTCTACACAATTGCACATGAAATGGTAATCAAAAATAAAGGATATCATAATTTTTGCAATATCTCTCGTGTTATGTATTGTTCAATATCTTTTTAACTTTAAATACTTATTCTTTTAAAGAAAAAATGTTATGCAAGACGAACTATATAGCACTTGAAAATTTATTTAAACGACTTACATGCGCCGCATATTAATCATTATGAAACAACGTTTGTCGCTTTTGGAGTACGTGTACAGCCTTCTGGCAAATAGAACATTGAAATTAAGAGGTGCATATGCACGTGTAACTATGCCACTTATATAATCGTGGTGAAAGTACTTAACGTACTTTCTTTTCACGCTGTTCTTTTCGGTTTAACAAGAGCAGCTTTGACTTCGTGCATTTACAAGATGGACGAATGCCTTAGCATGCTTTTTTCAATTGTACAGTGTAAAGGAATTATTTCACAATCTACCAGTATAACAAATTGAATAATTATTTTAACCAGCTAGCTGTCGAAATCTTTCTGCAAAATGTGTACTAAAAATATGTCTGAAAAAGGTAACCGACGACGAATAAATTAACTAACTCGAAAATTTTTTCATAATGATTATTTATATCTTTTTATTTGTCCGCTTTATATAATTTTGGCCTCCAAATATTCAAGATATCATAAAATCTTCGAATATATTTTAGTTCTCACGAAAATTGCAATTAAAAAGGCAAATTTTTACGCATGACGAGTATGCTCGCAGACCTGCATAAAAGTATTTCAACCAAGGACATACATATGCTTCCGTTGAAATAGTAATTATAAAATAAATCTGAAATACTTAATTGAAAGAAACAATTTCATTATTGTACATTCATTAATTAAGAGAAATATAAGAAGGAGCTTATTTTTCAAAATAATATGTGTTTGTACGTTTTCTATAGGTTTATTTTCTCTCAGAAATATTGATCGTAAGAAATAGAATTTCAAATAATTAGTAAAAATTTAGACACATGAAATATTGTTTCGAATAATTATTTCCAATATATATACCTTAAGAAAATACTACTTCAATTAATAAATTTCTTTTCTACGACGTAGAATAACTATTTCCAATGCATGTACTTATCTCTATGACACGTCGAATAAATCTTAAAGTATTATTTCATACAAACAATAGCATGCCATGAGCTATTTTCAATACTTTTTATAATATTTTTACCCAGGTCTGTATACTCGTTATAACATAAAATATTGCCAATTCTTTGCGACTAATATACTCGTTAAAAACAGCTAATTGGTTAAACAGCTCATTTTCTTTTTAACAAATCCAGATTACTTACCTGTTCCACAATGATGAACGAACTTTTATTCGATGGCCAAGTAATGCAACAACGTCCTTGCGACTTCGTATTAGATCCTGCGACAAATTGCTTTTCATCGAACTCGTCTTTATACTTCAATACACGAATATTTCTGTAGTGAAACGACTTTGCTCCCGGGAATAGTTTTTGAAAAGCGTGGGTTTCAAAGATAAATAAATCTTCTTACATTTTCCTCCAGATAATTTAAGTGTCGCCCTTTGTAATTACACGGTATTATCCTGGGAAAACTTTTACCAATAATTCCATTTACGTAAGCAGATTGCCTTGAGATACATTTCTTTGCCGTGCTTACTTCGACTAAGTACGGTAGTTCGAGCCTGTTAGGATAAAATCTATTTTTCCTCGTGCAGTTTTTACGTTCATTGTAACAGCAGCGTAGCCTGAAATGTCTCAGAACTGCGTAACGAACTTCGGAAATTAATTAAAGAGATAACTAAGGACACGTCACAGTCGAGTTACAGAAGAATAACATTAACTCTTAGGTCTAATGAGATCAGAAATCCGAGACTTCATACTATTATATTATTTTGAAATATTATTTAAAATGTTATTTCATATAACATGTTATTTTATTTCACAATTATTTCGATGCAAACATTACAATATTACTTTGAAATATCATTTCAAATAGCATGTTATTTTATTTTATAATAATAATTATTATGTTTATTTTATAATTATTATTTTGACGCCTGTGATCATTTTCAAAATAACGTAATTTAGAATTTTACTTCAAATAATGTATTATTTTATTTTATAATTCTTCGAAATAATTATTTCAGGCAATTGTGAATTCTTCTTGGATATTAATTATCAGCTCCAAGTCTGATTTACGCAGTCACCCCCATTGACATTTCTAAATAGAAGTCTAAAGAAAATTCGGAATAACTCATAAGAAAAGTTGACATAAATTGAGCCTCGTCATTCTCATAAAACAACGCATTTTAGTCACATTTAGAGCTCGGTAAGAAATAAAATGAACAAACTGGACAAATACAACAGCAATATCCAGAAAAATTGAAAATGTTGTGCACATGTCGATTCTATCGGACGTTGTACATACCTACGGATTGTCCCACTTCAACAACCAAATTCAATTATCTTCGCAACTGTATAGCGCAAACGTGTACCCGTGTATTTTACTAGAACAGGCAGCGGTACGACACCTGTGTGCAAAAACCAAACTGATGGTTTCTCGATATACGTAGAATAGTGCCATCTAATAGAGAATATGCAGTTGCATCGGCTTGTGTGAGAAAGTTATGTGATTCCAAATAAAAAATGAAATAGATCTATTTTTTCTTTTTTCGTTTACGCATCCATCTAGAAACGAATGAATTTCACAGTTCGCTCGTTACAGGGTACAAATCGTTCGGAACAGTTTTCGAGTAACGAATAAAGCTACGGAGATAATTGTATTTACATGGAGTAGCTTCGGCAAGCGTTCGAAAAATGAGATACGGTAGAATTCCGTTTATTTGTACTCCATTTATCGAAACAAGGCCATGCTCGGTTGCAGATGCATGCACTCGTCGTAACTAACAAGTACAGTTTAGAGAGGGGAATTAGTGAGCTGGTACTATATGAACTAAATGCATGGTTATCGAAACCATCGCGTACGCCGACGGTTACGAATAAACGAAGTTCTATCGTGTTTGCAGTTTCTCTTCTATGCTCTTGATTTTGAGTATTTAAAACGTTTACTTAGCACTCTCTCGGACCTGGGTTAAAATATTCCAATTAAGAAACACAACTGTTTGCAAATATTATTACTCTTAACTGTGTTACATATGCTTCATTTGTAATAGTAATTTATTTCTGTACTGAATGAAATACTAATTGAGATACTTCATTGATTTTACAAATGTTTAATACGCATTTAAAATATATGTATTTTATAATATGAAGCTAGAATATTGAATTGATATAATTATTTGCTTCATTGTGCGTGAAATGAGACGCTTGAATATTATTTCTATGGAATTTCGTCGCCAAGCAACTGCTAGCATGTCTCGTTACTAGTGTTTGCATTTGAGATATTATTTGAGATACGTACATTGTTGAGAGCAAACAGATGTGAAATGTGTCAGTTACGTTCATTAATTATAAGAGAAATATAAGAAAAAGCCTATTTTCCAAAACGATATGCATTTCTACTTTTTCTATAGAATTATTTGCTCCCACAAATATTGATCGTAAGAACTAGAATTTCAAATATTTAATAGAAATTCAATAATTATTTCCAACACATCTTAAGAAAATATACTATTTCAATTTACAATTTTCTTCACCATGACATGAATAACTATTTTCAATACGTGTACTTATCTCAGTGATGTCGAATAAATGTTGACTTCAAATACTTATTTCTTATTTTCATTTCAAATAAAATTTTCCCAGATCTGCAACAACCGAACAAGTCTGAATGATTTCTGATTTTTTCTCTTTCTACGAGAATCTTTTTCATATGCTTCTTTATTCAAACACATACATTATAATAGAAATCGTATGAATAAATCTAATCTCGTCATTGTTATAAAACAATATATATACGTATAATAAATGCATTTAGGACTCGGTAGATCTAGTGTTAAAAATCACAGTAGCATGATGTCGTGAGAAATATATTTCTGAAATATTAGACAGCTATTTGCAAGTAAACTATACTTTCCGAGTCTCAGAAATGTTAGAACTTCTCAGAACTCCGGACTATTCATTGCAGTCACACTACTTCACAGAACAATTATTTGCGAAAGATAATACACTTCGTTTACTCACATGCAAGTGACATTACGCGATTCTAGCAGCAAACGGCTCACTCGGTTCAACACGCAACGAATCCGTTTTTGTTGAACTATTATATCATAAGCAGGTCGTCTTTGCATACCTTGACAGTCTTATTAGAATATATGTATTACGTACGTTATAACAGTTGTTCAGGCGAAACGCGAAGTGATCTGTTGCGTATTTCTGTGAGTCACGAATTTATCAATGATCTGATAAATTCTGAACTCAATCTTCGAGCAGGGATATCTTGATGAATAGTCTTCAGATAAGGCAGCGCCATTGTTCAGAAAAATGGAAGTATTTGTTTGCTCATTATTTTTTCTTTCGTTTGGTTCTATCATTTTGTTATGTATTGGTGTGAACGTGTTATCAGCCAATCTACAGAAGTGAATGCTGAGAACTCGAAATATGATACTTGGGCCGTTCTAATCTTTATAATTACTAATGGTACTTTTCCATTGT